ATTTTCTCTTATCCCCTGCTAACTCCTATGACAATAATTAGCCATCTCTCTCCCTCTCCTGCAGGGACTAACAGCCTTATCACCTCCTACCTTGAAACATCCTCCTCTGCTCAGCAGGCACTAACTGCCCTATTCATTCAATTTGACTGGCCAGATAATGTAATAAATGAAACCCTGAACAATTGTTTCTAACCTGTAATTTGCTGAAGTCTGATGACTCTCAAAATAGCCTTGTTTGCTCAGAAACATGTCATTTTTTAATGCATGTCATCCAGTCCTATTAAAAAATATGTTCTCTCTCCCAAAAGACTTGCTTCACTTGTTGTCATCACAACTATCAAAATCCTAACACAAAGAAACTTTTATATCAAGGAGAGTTTATTAATGCAGCTATGTGCTGGATTATACATTTGCACACTGAAACTCTTTAGAATTGTGGACAAAGCCAACTGAAATCAATGGGAAAGATGTTATTTAAATAGACTTTATTTCAAGACCTCAATTGAGGTGACACACTTAATTTCTTTCAAAATAATCCTGTTATAGCCTTCAGCAACAATAAAACAGAACCTCAGAATGAATGCTATTTATATAGACTTCCTTGCAATTCCACACTGCAGGTAGAATGCAAAGGAGACTCCTCTGAAGATCCAGAAACCACACAGAAAGATAGAAGAAAATATAAAACCTATTTTTAAAAGAACCAAATATTTCTAGAATCTGAGTTCACCTGCCTTATCTAAAAAATAACAAATCCAGTCCTCTCTTTAATTGTGTAACCCAACACTTCCATTAAATAATTGAATAAAATTTATTTTTTTTAGAAATTCATTTTGGTCCACAGGAAGTTGTGAAAAATGTCACTAAAACCTTCCAACATTTTTTATATAGGATTCCTATAGTCTTATTGGAGCACCAAAAATAGGAAAAAGAATCTAACTTGTGATTCTCCAAACCCCAGGAGGGGCCTTCACAAATCACCAGCCTGATGTTCACAGATAGATGAACACTTGCCAGAGCACTTTGGTAGAACGAGACATTCACAGACAAGTAAATTCTTCTCAGGATGAAGGTATCTCAAATCAGCTTAATAAAATAGCATGTTTGGATTCTCTATAAAGAGAATGAATTATTAGTTTACATTCTCCTGTCACTAGGTATCTTTCTTTGCTCTTTGATGCTGGCAATTGGTTATTTCCCCAAGGCACTACAGTGATACATTTACATGTCACCACATCCCTCGCTGTGCCGAGCTGTCACTCTCACATTCAATATGGCAGGCCAGTGTAGAAATTCAAGCGTATCTGAGAGCTGACAACTTCTGCCTTACAGTCCCCTGCACTCCTCGCGAGCCAAAGCAGGGTTTGCTCTGCTAAACAAAAATGAAACTCCAACTTCTATTAGCCAGAGGTAATGGAAGAGAAAGGGAGATCGTGTTTTTCTCAATTTCACTGAGTAAGTAGGGTGGAACACTGAGAAGACCAAACACAGCATCTTTTCATGGCCTCCTAATTTCTTCTCATCAGCTAGACAACTTCCTATTTTGGCATCACAAATCAGTGAAGCACAAAAACAACTCAAGACCCTGGCCACAGGTCACATTTGAGCAGCTTCTAAAGGGGCAACCAGAATCTAGCATTAATGGTGCTGGATTCCACCCATCCATGGTGGAATGGATCCTATATTTTCAGGAGGCTACTGCTATTTTTTTATCTTATCTACTCCTTCAACCAGATGCATTTAGCAATTCTCAATGGATTTGTCTTCCTAAAATTTGCCCCATCTCTTCCTGCATCTACATACATGCTTAACAAGCACAAAATCCCTCAATAAAGACTTCTCCGTCCCAGATATCAAGAGACCAAATTTCCTTCTGTGAAGAAAAGTTTCCCTTCTGCTTCTCATAAATGTGGCTCTTGCTTGCATATTTTCTTGCCCCTACTTAATTGCCCAAGAAGTGTAACTGCTGTGCAATTTCTCATAATGAGCAGTCTGCACTTCTCTTGTGCTGAGAAGACATTTTGTAAATAGGGCAAACCTTTAGATTACTATTTTAAAGTATTTCATGAGGTTTCCCAAGAGTCCACCCTAGGACCATGACAGTGGTTAATTACAGAAATTTGACTTCTCCTAACCTTTTGCAGTAATCATTTGAAAAGCACATAAAAGATTCCATGTTCCGCATTCAATGATCAAGGGAAGGGAAAACAAAATGAACAAAAAACCCCAAACACACAAAACAACAAACCTTCTCCCACCCATCCAAAAAAACCCCTAATCCAACAAACCCGCCTCCCCCCCCAAAAAAAACCCACAAAGCCTACAACATGCCATCAGGGACAGAAGAAACCCCAGAGAGAAGAAAGATGGCCTGTCCAAACAGACAGTGCTATGTAGGGAGGTTAAGTATCAGGCAATACAAAAATGGAATTCTGAAGGCAAGTTCCAGTTCAAAGAGACAAGCTGCCTTGTTATCTTGAGATGCCTTCTCAAGAGGATTTAGTGCAAGTCTGAAAACTGCAAATGAGTCACGGAAAAGAACAGGCAGAATGATAATCACAGCCACCACCCAAGAGTACAATACATACTACAGCACTCTGCTATTGACAACCTGTAGTGTCTTCCTCTGACTTTAAATGCAGCTGATTTGGAACCATTATTTACACGAGTGAGGAACTACAACATAAGAGGAAATCTATACCTCCGAAGCTGGTGTATCATTCTCCTGCTAGTGTGAAGGATGTTAAAAGTGAAAAAAAAACAAACAAAAGGTGACATGTATGAAAACCCTCAAGTTTGGCTCACTAACTGTGGCAACATTCACAACTGCACAGAGATTGAGTGTTGAAGTCTGCCTGCCTTTGGAGGCAAAAACTGATGTCTCTAAGCATTAATGGCTTTCTAATCCCAAACCAACCAGTTTGTCATTGATTATCTTTTGCTAGGAGACAAAGGTATTTTGGGGTTTACAACACAGAACCATCCCAGGTGATCTCCAGTTTGTGGGGAGAGAACGTAAATATGCAACATATTTTTGGAAGGAGTACTTCAAAGTCCCTGTTACATTTAATCATTCTTTTGTGCTGATCCTTTCATTGCATTTGCACTTCAGACAACCTTTGTGACTACAAAGACATGAAGTAGAGAAGCTTGCAGCTCCCAGCAGATAGAGCTTGTTGCTTGAAAACCTCAATGCACGTTGAGTAAAAGCATTTAGTGCAGAGTAACTCTGGCAGGCAAAACACTAGATTTAACAAGAACAAGTTATTTTAATTTGAGGAAGTTAATTGCTAATGAGTCAGGAAGAGTAGAAAAGGGAAACAGGATCAGCCTGAATAACCTCGAAGTACCTGAGAGTTGCTACAAACATCTGGGATGCAAAGAATGTTGGAAAACAGATTTGCAGGGCCCATTTCCAATAGAAGGGTGTTCATCTAAGATGATGAGGCACTCTGAGCGTGGCAACCTTTCCACACACTTTGCATACCCAAATGCCACAGACACAGCACAGAGCAGCTCATAAACCTTGAAAAATGCAGTAAGCAGCCTGCCTCTGAAAGCCATGGTGTTTAAAACATCACTTATGTGAACTAGATTGAAGGGTACATCCCTACTACCTTAAATTGAGAGGAGGAGCTGGATTTCTAGACCTTTCATCCAGCATTTTCTAACCAAGTGTCGTGATAAGAGTTTCACTGTTTGGAGTCACTTATACCCAGAAATGCCATTCTGAGAAAAAGTGCATTGCAAAATTTTGCTCTTCCCCTTTAGTAAGGCCTTCCCATTATCCAGCCACCAAAACAACCAGCTGTTTAATGACCTAAGAAGCAGACAAGAGCTCTTTGTTCCCCCATTAGAAAATAAACTGAGGGGAAGAGCAATTTAACACAGTTCATAGAATTTCTGCCTTTGAGTCCTCAGTCAGAACAATCAAACTCCAGATTATTAAAGCAAAGTCTCTCCATCCCAGGGGAGTATCCTGGAGGCAGTCTTGACTGCCAACAACACAGTGAGGAACTTCTCACCCATCACCTTTCCATTTTCCAGCTCCCTGCCTACTGAGCCTTGCCCTAGGCAGGGAAAACACAGAGAGAACTTCCTTGGTCATCTGGCTTGCTTTGTTTTAGTTTTGTTTAGTGTATTCATACACATTACTACAAACCAGAAGATGCCATGGGAGCTAGAAGCAGTTTCATCTCCATGTTCTCCAAAGACACAGTGTTAGCCAAAAGGCATTTATTGAATCACAGTGTCAAAATCTGAACAGAGTTGAATTATATACAGCTTGTCAATGCTGCATGGGAGTGTAGTTCACTCTTTTTACAGAATAAAATGTTTGTTATTTTTTGATGTATTTAAATATATCTGTAATTTTGGCCATTATTATGTGTTCAGTTATATTTGTGGTTTATGCTGTCAAGCTGGATAAAACTGTAGTTCCTCTTGCTTTACCATTCCACATTTAGAGACAGTAGTACAAAGTCAATGGTTCTCAGAACTGCCAATACATTGAATATAAGGAGCAGCACAAAGGAGGCTATTTCCAGTGATAACAGGAGTACTTTTTCTCTTCTATAATATTAACTGAAGTATCAAAGTAGAATTCTGCTAGTGCTGTACTTCCCAACAGTGACAGAGAATAGTTCAGAAAGTAAGATTTTATCTGAGTTAACTAGGAAGAAAAATCTCTATGACTTCTTTCATGCCATTAAATATACACATTTTTATCTTGAAAAAAATAATTAAAATGTTTCCCCAAGCAAATTCTAATGCACCAGGAAAATCAGAGAAATGCATTGGTTTCCACATGTGTCCCTCAATAACCCTCTCCGCAGGAGCCAGTGCTGGCTGGTGTTAACCTCAGCAATATCATTTTAACAAGCTAATTATCCCCACAGTTCTCCCAATCTGAACTCTGCTCATTCAATGCAGCCAGCAGCAGCAAGAGAGCACAAAAAGCATGGAAGGAAAGAAGGAAAGCACACGGTACTGCCTCTTACCACAGTATAGATCTGAGGTTTGCGTCTTTTGGCCAGGTCAATTATATTGACTCCGTTGTAATAAAGGTTCTCAATGCACCCATGGAAATTTTTCCTCTGAAAGGTTCCTGGCTTCCCCGGGACAGGAATCCCTCCAAAACTGAGCTTTTGGAAAGAATAAGAACAGCATTATTTATAATATTATATATATGTATGTATATATTACATTATATTATGTTATCATCCCAAAAGCAGGAGAGCAGAGCCCCACTCCATACATCCACTTGGGGTATTATTTAAGAACCAATTCCCACCAACAACATCACTGGGAGCATGAGGCAGGCCCTGACCACGTCTCAGGGGAAATTACAGCCCCCATTGCATTCCTGCTGCTGGAGAAACACTTCTGGAACAGATAGCTCACTGCTTTGGGAGCAGCTCTGAAGTGCCTTGGCACACCAACCTAGTGCCCCCAGCTCCCCTGCCAGGAACACCCACACACAAGGAAACCTCCCCACAGTGTGCAACCCACAGCCCCACTGACCCAGATGGTGACAACTGTCACATGTGGCATTTGGGACTGAGCTTTGTGATGGAGAAGTTCTGCAGGCTACATATTTGTACAAAACTTCTGCTGTGCTGTTGTCTAAGTACTGGCAGTTGTTAACACTGTGCAGGTTACAGCTCCTCTCTGAACTGGAAGGCTGAAAGTCCTGGGAGGACAAAGAGCCTAAGAAAATTAAGCTGCCTAAATACAGCTTGTTTAGATTTTGAAGAATAGAGAGAGAGTAAAAAGAAAGAAAATCAAACCCCACAACCCCAAAAAATTCTGATAATCCTACCTTCATTTTCCAAATGTCACAGCTCATTTCTAATTAACTTTACTGACCTTTCTGGCAAAGCATTACTGGTGGTACCACTAAAGTTTTACTCATTTTTCCCATCACAGCCAGCAGCATGGTGAGTGATATAATGCAGGTGGGGATCCTACAGCCACACTTGATCAGGACCCGCGCTGCAAAATCCTGCTGCACCCAGTGCAGCAAGAGCATGCACTGCTGTGTGGCACTGCTTACAGGCTGACAGCTCCTGGAACCTGGTCAGCCCTATTCCCCTGACACAATTCCCAAAGCCTTACCTCAGCTCATTATTACAAAAAATAAAGGGCAATTTGAGGGTTATTTTTCCTCCCACTCCACCTAACAAGGTGGGATACATAAGCAAGTGAAACGTCTCTGGGTAACCTTGAAAACACTTACTTAAAAACAAGTTCTTAATGAACTTGCACCTCAGTTGTTTTAATTGATCACTTCAGAGAAATAAAGAGTGAACAGACTGCTATTTTACGTCACTTGCAGGTTTGTTATTGGCATGAGGGCTTATCTGGTAGCAATGTGTTGTTTTTTTTCCAGTGAGAATCATTAGTTCTTTCTAAAATGCCAGACTTTCCTTCTTTCATGTTCTATTCTTCAAGTCTCCTGCTTAGGGACTCTGTACTGGGGTTTCAAAATCAGAAGAAAAATCAATATCAATTACACCAATGCATTATTAAGAAAACAGTTTCCTTTGTGATTGGTAATAATTTTAATTATGAAAGTAATGATTTTATTACCCTCAGTAAGACCTTTAATCCCTAAAGTGTGCTGAGATAAACTTTCAGTAGACTGCATTGCTGCAAAGTTTGACTGAAAGACTCTCTCAGTGCAAATGGAGAAAAAAACACACTGTGAAATTCAAACTAAGCTCAGGGGACAAGGTCTGAGTGCCCAAGTGGTTGGTGCTGATGGTGATTTACAACACCTGAAGATCTTTTCTACCATCTTCCCTATTTTGGAACATCTGGAAAAATGTTCTGCAAATTAGATTGGAGCCTGAGTTTCCCCTAGTTGGCACCAAGCAAGAGGCAAGAAATTTTATTAATTTGAAATTAGAAAAGCTGATGACTCAGTTATTTGACTTTTCTCAACTCCATCTTAAAAGCAGTTACAGTTTTGGCCCCTAACAGTTCAGTCTAAAGCTGCTGCAGAATCCCATTGTTCTAAGTGCTGTCCCTACTAAATATGCTCATGATTTGGCAGAGCAGTGCCAGGGGACAGGTACCACTCTCTGCACCCTACTTTGTGAAATGCAAAGAAAGAAATTTCATCTGGAAGAAGAGAGGAGAGAGCAGGCACCTGCCACTGCTGAGCCGTCTGCTTTTTTCCCTTGGGTGCGTTGGGAAATGATCCTTTCCGGAGAAATGAATTCAAAGTGCAAAGGGGGAACTTGTGGTCTCTGAAGCAGTGAACCATGCCAGCTCAACACATCCAGATAGGGTGATGGCTCTGTGCAAGCACGACCCTGAGCCTTGTGGGCAAGGAAGACTTGACAGACAAGCACAAGGGGATAAAAACGAGCAGGGGTAATTTGCACGCGGGTGTGCGTTGATGGCAAACAGACGAGGAGCTGCCTTGCATACAGATATGATGATCGTTAGGGCTTTCAGGTACTTTTTTAACAACCATCATCCATAAGCACTGAACTGCTGGGGTGATTCAAGCTGCACTCTGCCACACCTTGGTCACATCACAGGGAAGCACACCAGGCTTGGGTTTATGGGCAGGCAGAATGTTTCTTCTGTTGAGCTGCTCTGGCTCCTGAGCATGCTTTGCAACATGCTCAGATGTGAAGGAAATTGGGTCAAGCTGGTGGTTGTGAGAGTCATAGAATCACAGAATTACTAAGCCTGAAAAAACCTCTAAGATTGAGTCCAACCCAGCACCCTCATGTTCATGACTAGACCATATCCCCAGGTACCACTTCCATACACCTTTGGAACACTCCCAGGGATGATGATCCCACCACTTCCCAGGGTAGCCTATTTCAATGTGTGATAACCCTTCCAGTAAGGAAGATTTTCCTGCTATCCAATCTAAACCTCCTCTGCCACAACTTGAGGCCATTTCCTCTCATCTTGTAATTTTCTGTCTGGGAGAAGAGACAGATGCCCACCTCGCTAAAACTTCATTGCATACTGGAGGTCTTCCACTCCTAGTGGGAATACAATAATTTTCATCTCTTCATCTCTATGTGGAGAGCTGTGATTCAAGTGAGTGGTGTCTGGATAGAGGGACAACTCAGGGCTGGAATCCCCACAGTCATGCTCAAGTCAGTGTAGGGATAGTGCACAGTGATGCCATTAAAATCATAGTGGAGATGATAACACAGCTGCTCCCTGAACATTTAACTTGAACCCAGGCTATGGCTTCTCATTTATTCAAAGTCTGTCATACTTTGAAGTACAAACATAATGCAATGCCTATTTGCCCAGAGATTTGGCACTTTCTGATGCTGGCATATATGGAGTTACGCTGACACAATTTATGCTGGTAAAGTAGGAAAGGAGCTCTCTAGGAAGGAATATTAAATAATGATATTTGCTAGAAAGAAACAGCTCATAGGGTGGTTGCTTTCCATCATATCCATTTTATAGCAATTCATACCTCAATTCACAGGTTATAACGCAAAGGGCTTCACACACCTCATAATCAATATCCAAGTGATCTGAATCCCCTTTTGTTCGGAAGTGCTGGGTGTGCTTGTCCACTGTGAAGTTCACTTGCTTGTTGAAGCGTTCTATGAGAACTGAGTGCCAGTGCTGGTCATCCAGGAGGCTGCCCAAGGTGACAGACGTGTGGCTGTTACTGAAGTGCAGGTTGGAGTCCCCTGGAGTGGCACAGAGAGGCAGAAGACACCAGTTACCTCCAGACTCAGTTTAACTGGAGCATGGGGACTCAAGGAAAGCATGAAGCAGAGCTCCAGGGTGCAAGCCAGAGCTCTTGTGAACAGATCCTTTTCACAGACTGACTTATATTCCTTGGGTCCCTTATTCACATACATGTGTGTATATCCCCTGCCCACACACATTTTTTCCCTGTGAAATCCTTGTGATAAACCAGGAGGTGTTACAGATGCTGCACTCACACATTGAGTGTGAGTGCAGCAGGCACTACTACTTTGTCTGTATCCTTGCTTCTTCCAGGCCTTTTTGGTCCTGGTGGCTTAAGAGCTTCCTTTGGGTAACACCAAAATCTTCTGTCTAATCACATCAACAGACCACTCCTGACACTTCACTGTCAACTCTGTGCTTTCTGCATTTTAACAAGAAAACTGTTTTAAAAAAACGGGGGGGGGGGGGGGGGGCCCCTGCCTCGAGGGCNAGAAAGTGAACAAGAGCGGGGCGGGGGGGGGGGGGGGGAAGGCACTAGTCAGTGAAGCAATAAGAGTGTTTTGTTCAGCTCACAAAAATTCTTAAACCTGGCCTAGCTCTCCAAAAGTAGAGATCAGAAATCATAAAAATATTTAGGCTGGTAATTTTAACCCAGTAATTTCAAGCTCTCTTCTGTTTTCCAGCTGGCTACATGTCTCAATACTTCAGAGCCTCTCACTGAAAGGGAGTGTGTATCCTCTTTTACATTCCCGCAGAATGGAGAGAACACATGCTCCAAAACTGCCAGGCAAAATGCAAGCACATTCAAGAGAAGTCATCAAAACCCATGCCATGATATATGAATGCAAAAAAGAGGACCTAAAATGGCTAAAATTTTGTACACTTGGGGCTACAACTGAAGGAAAAAACCCAACTTATCTCAGAATACACATTCAAAACAGTATCTCCTCTGGAAGAAGATACATAATATAATTAAGTGGAGTATATTCTTATCCTAGCACTAAAAAGTTGTAAGAGAACAATTCAGTGGGGTCGATTCCCCCACTCAGAGCTTCAGGATGTAGTTTTTTGGTCCAAGTAACATCCAAATCCCAAATCAGAAAGTGATGCATTATCATTTCCAATCTTTGCTGAAAAAGAAAGAAGGAAAGAAAGAAAGCACAACTTGGGGACTCAACAATTAATGAGCTTATGTAAAAATGAAATCCAACAGCTGTGGAAAATAGTTACTCATTTTTAAAACAAACATAATTAAGCACAAGGGGAGAAATGCCCAACTTAAACCCCTCAGTATGAGAAACATGAGCCAGCAGAGACTGCTGAGGCCAGTACCATGGGATACCCAGAGATGAAGCCAGTGAAGATTTTGCAGTAAGGCTGGGAGAGGGGGTATGAGCACTCCTACTGCAGTAGTCCCTACCATTATCAAAGTGCTTCAGTGTATTCATCAGGGAAAAAACAAGCATCTTCTACAGAAAGAAATCAAGCCAGCGTTTCCTCTGATGCTCTGATCCAATATGATCATACAGTGATAACCTCACAGATATTGAAGAAGGAATATTCACAGTTTTCAGGAAGGAAACGTACAGCAGTGTGAACAATGTTTTGACCAGTATGTTATCATTGAAATTATGTATTCTCAGCTCAGCTCTGAATCACTGAGTGAATGGAAAAAAATTAGACACAAACCAAAAATAAACTTTTCCTGCAGTCCAAAGACCACTTCCTGAGAATGCTGTTCTTAAAAATAATACAAAAAACCCACACACACATAAAAAAAAAAAGTTATGTGAAGAATCAGAACTAGCCATTGAGCAGTTCTAGTTCTGCCTTGCTCTGCACTAGTTAGAGAAGCCAAGGTCTCTTCTTGGCTCAGCTACCATGTCCTGCATGACATCAGCACACAGAACGTTCTGTTGATATCAGCAAAACTCTTCAGATACTGTCCAGTATAAATAACAGATTTATATGCAAACCAGTAATCCTAATTACCCTTACCCAGGTTGAGGTGCAAGGAGAGCTTTCCCTTCTGCAGTTCCAAGGTTATGTAGTCTCCACGCTGTCCTTCTCCATGGAATAAGACTCCATCCCCCTGCATGCTCTTGAACTTCAGGGAAACTACATCTTTGAATGTGCTCATAAGCTTCTGATTGAACCTGTAGAGAAGTGAACTTCTGCCATCAAAGTCTGCAATATCTGACTCTGGAAGAAAGAAAATGGCAAAATGGCAAGGAGGGGCAGCATCAGAAGAGGGATTGTATTTTTTTCAGAATCTTTTCAAATACAGTTTGGAGTCAGATATCATCCTGAGTGTACATTCACAGGATGTACAGGTCATTTGAGCAACCACATTTCATCCATTTCCAATCCTCTCCCTCTGCTGGAGAATGGGAACACGAGGATAAACCCAGAACCCCTCTGCATTTGCCTTCCTCATACAACACTTCTCTCTCATTTAACTTTTGAGAACAGAACAGGTGCCTTCCATCACATTCAGATCTCCAGAACATCCCTTGCCACGTTTGCTGCTCATCTCAAATGCATTCAGGATGTTATTCATTACTTTGAACACTTCAGTACTCACTCCACTTTTGTAGCTTCACAAGTGTCTGTTGAGCTGTTCCTGCATGTCAGCCATGCCTGCATCCACCTCTGCATTCTGATAAGGGTTCCCTCAGCCTCCGAGGGCTGGCTGCCTGCTTGTGATGGGCATTTATCAGCCATGTTTCTGCATGCAAATTGACTAGGCTGGCAGGGATAGCCAAATATCAATTCAAAAAGCTTTTGAAGAGATTTCATGGGAACTGGGCATCTAAACTGATTATACACCTTTGAAAATCCTATTAGAAACATATTTTCCCCTTCAGCCAGCCTCTAAATTCCCAATCATTCTGGTAGGAAACAAGCTTTCTGTTCCTCACTTGCAATTAATACTTCTTTGGCAGCAGTGGCCTGAAGTACCCTCTCTGCTTTATAAAGTAGTTTTTTAAGCAAAACATGTTTTTAAACAAAATTTTAAATGTATCTCTAACTGGAATACTTCAGGTAGCTTTAAATACTTTAAAGTAATATGTTGTACACAAACATCTGACTGACATACATTACTTCAATTCCAATTTCTATCCAACTGCAATTTGACACAATTTATGTATAAAGTATCAATTTTGTCAATTGGTATTTTCTGTTGTTAAGAAAAATATTAAAAATAAAGAATACCAGACAATGAAGAATTTGAACAGAGGTTTACTAAACTACATAACTACTGAGGCAGATGCACAAAGAGAAGTAGCACCTTCCTAGTGCCCAAGAAGAAAGAATGTAGACTCTCTTTGTTTGCAAGCCATACATTTCAGTGATAAACCAAAGCTATCAGTCTTCTCTTTTCTTCTGAAAAATAACTGAGAGGTTCATATGATCAAGACTTTCAGCCAGCAACTGTATGGTGGTTCAAGTCAGTAATTTAAGGCACCCAAACTCCATTGAGAGCTCTTTTATTCTTTTAAAAATTAACACTAGTTTCATCTGCTTTTTTTTTTTTTTTTTTTTTATTATTTAAAAATAATAAGAGCTGGAGGGGGGGGGCAGGGTTTTAACCTTTTTATCTTTTTTTTGGTGAAAAAATTGAAGAGGTTTGCAATTAAAAACTATTAAAAGCTCAGAAAATAAAACAGCTGTTAACGATTTGTTACCATGGAAACTACCATGAAAATTTCTGCCTGTCAGTATGACAGTTGTGCAGGAGTTTGATGGCACACTTACAAACTTGCAGGGAGCACAACATTTCAATTTGATGCAAAACTCTGTAACTCCATAGCCAACTTCATTCCAAATCAGAAGGCAACTGATTTTTTTTATGAGACTAAAACTACAAAGAAACTCAGTCCTGGGGAAAATTCACTCTTGAGTAAACTAAGACCAGCTTCTTATCTGTGATGTCAGAATTATAACAGGCTGTTTCCCTTCATTTGTGGGACAGTTGCTAGTTTAGGAATTATCACAAATATAAAAGTATTCCTGCCATCTGTTTTTAACTTCTGAATTAGGTGTTATGAAACAGCTTCTTCAGAATTGCTGACTTCTCTCTATTGACACCTTGACTGCCAGTTTCTATAAAGGGAATTAAATTGGCAGTTTAGTTCTTGTGAATTTCCCCTAACTACATTAAATACTACAATTTGGTTAAAGTAAATCACAAGTGTCTTACAAAAATGGTTTCGTTTCAACACAGGCAGCAATTAGGAAATAGCTTATAAAGAATTTACAGTCTTTGATTTCCACAGCATTTTGCAACTAAAGTTGATTTTTCTCCTAGCTCATAAAACCAAAGGTACTGCAGGATCAAGGGTGCGCTGATTCAATGCTGCTCAAAAAGTGGCCCTTTTACAATCTTTTTCCTAAGACCCAAGACTGCAGCCAGTCTAAATTCACACTTCAGTTCTTAACTCTCCATTAAGCCACAGCATAACATGATTTTTTGAAGAGCTCTACTACTGACATTTACAGAGTATATCACAAAGGAAAACTTGTTTCTGAAAAGCTCTGCTCCACTAATTATCAGTTGTGAGCACATTGGCCAATAAATAGCCCTGAATGAAACGAGAATATGTCAAATAAATGCTAACACTGGCAGCCAAAAGTCATTAGTGGCAGCTTGCATGACAACAAATCGTTGGTTCCTGTTAAAAACAGCCACTCTAGAAAACCTGCTTGGTGTTTGCTTAGTGTTTGTTTAGCCCATGTATGTCCATAACCCTCTTCCAGCAAGTGAGAGAGGATCCAAAACGTTTCAAGTCTCAGAAAATCTGTAGTAATAACAGACTGAAACACAACATGTGATTTCATCCTGCACTGCCTGCTGGTGTTCTTATGCTCCCTGAAGACAGACTTTACTCATTCTGGGCTCCTCTCTACACTGTCCTCATCAACAAGGCTGTTGACAGCCTGGCAGCAGTATGAGAGCACAGAGCTCACTCATGCAGCAATCTGCTGCCGCCAGCAGAGAGGATACACAGCCATACTCAAGAAGAAAGTCCCTCCTCCTAGCAACTTTGGGAAAAGTGAACACTTACTTAGCAAAGATATTCTAAACCAAGAATAACTCTAGGAACAGTTGCCATGTGAGACAGGAACTTTTAGTCTTGAGTTTGCACCAGTGAACAGAATCTTTACTTCATTTGGGTAAGCAATTACTTGGGTATTTACCTTGTGCATTTCATTACAAACATGACTAGTCAATGACCATCAGACACCCTGCAATGAGTTATTTTCTCTCTCATAGGAAGACAAAGGAGAGGATATGAACAGAATCTTTAATTCCCTCCTGGCAGAGGGAAGAGGACAATCCTGGTCTGAACAGATGCGTCCCCTGGCCTATCTCAGCTTGCTGGCTTGAATGACCCTAAAGCCATGCCCACCTCCCTCTCAGACATACAACCCAAGGGATGAGTGTGGATGACTATTTCAGAGGTGCTTGTCCTGCCATGCAGCTTTACCCCTATCAAAAATCTCTGCTTCATTTGGGTAAGCAATCACTTGGGTATTTACCTTGTGCATTTGATTACAATCATGACTGGTCAACGACCATCAGACACCCTGCAATGAGTTATTTTCTCTCTCATAGGAAGACAAAGGAGAGGATGAAGGAAGGTGAGGGAAAAGAAAGAAGAAAAAAAAAAAGAGAGAAAAAAAAGAGAGAAAAATAATCCAGTAAAAATATCTCTGAATAAAAAGGCACAGTATCAGATCATATTCCCCGAAGCAATGACAGCAAAATATGAGTTCAGAGTCCTGATTCCTGCAAATGAAGGATTCTGCTCTCAGAAGACACCCTGTCTCACACCCTATCATTGTTTCTCCTGTGGTATCCCAGCCTGTTAACTGCACATACACCCAATTCTGCTGATGCACCTTGGGCTGTTAACCAGTTATAGAATATGATCAGCATCTTCAGTGTGGCTATAAATCTTATCCTATAAAAGCAATTGTGCCAGCAATTTTCTTTTTTCTTGTGCTAAGCTAACAAGGCTTTTCCCAAGTATAAAGATACACTAGTCACCCCTTGCCACCGCCAGCACCAAAAGCAATTGGTTTGCCACTTGTCTGAGCTTGTCCTCTGCTGCAGCTCTGCTTATCTGTTACAAATAACTGCTGGAGCCACTGCTGCAAAGGGACAGCAAAGGCTTACACGTATTTCTGCATGGAACTTTCCACAGAACTCATCATCTGATCAGGAAACATTAATGTATGCTTTCAGATCATCATCTCCTTCCTATTTCAGTGCCTATTTTGAGGATACCAGATGAGATATTTAAAGGATTTTTTTTTAAAATGTAATCAATTTTCATTTAAATACATACTTTCTGAAGAAAGTAAACATTTAGCAGGCTATCTGTGAATTACAGCTTATATGATGGCCTTGGAGTCCTTTATTCATAGGAACTTCGATACGTATGGGATAGGATCAGGTACACTCATAATCTGAAACAGCTTTTCAGATCAAAACATGTTTTTATTTTTCCAAAGAAACAATGACAACTGGCAGCCAAATAGAGGGTGAAAAGAGAAAGGGAAGAAGGAAAAAAAACCCAAAGTCCAAAAAATGAAAGCTCTTTTGTTTGACAGGGAGACTTGAGGAACAAATTCATAGTAAATTATTTCTAGCAGAAGCAATAAACAGGAAGTGCCATTCAGCAGCAGCACAGCACCATCCCAGGCTAAGTTACCCACTTTGACATCCAGTGCACACAGCTGGATTCCTCAGTATGTTTTGTTGCTGTGTCCTGGCAAAGTATCACCTGGCAGGTGACCTAAAAGACCTGATGCCTTCTGTGTGCCCCCTACTAAAGAGTGATCAATGAAAGCTGCACTTGCACAGGTTAGCACAGGATTGTGTTCCTGGGGCCCCTCGGGCAGAGAATACTGCATAGGAGAGTCATACACCAAAAATGGGTTAACAAAACCTTCTACTGCCACATGACTGTCACATTCACCTAAAAAGGCAGCAGGGAAGCCATACATGGCTCTTACAGATGGATTTGTATCAGCTGATGCTGTTTCTGCTCTCAGCATCACATTCCTTCATTCATGTACATACAGACACATGTATGAAGATGGTGCACATTCAATATACTTGCTCTTCTACTTCCATTTCCTTCCTGGCTTGTTCAACAGCCTGTCTCTAAAAAACTGAAGCTTTGTAATTTTAATTTTTTTTTCCCCCAGATTATTAATATTTCTTATGCTACAGCTGAACAAGGTGGAGGAGTCTGTCTGCTATCAACTTTACAAAATGCAGTTATGTAGCTGTATATCAGCTCAGGATCTGCAGCAGATATTTTGTCAGTATACCACTAAAGATGACATTTTATAAATGATCAAACATCTTTTGTACAGTGCTGGTGTGTCTGGGTTAGGAGTAGCCAAGTCAGTAAAACTATATAAGCACAACTTGTAGACAGGTATTGCTTGGCATATGCAATTTGCCAGAGAGAAATGTGAATGGCACATTTATATAAATGGAATGAATATTTCAACACCCTGTAAAAGTTTTATGAATCCCTTTATTTCTTTTCTGGCTCGCTTTAACCTCATACCTTAATTCTGCACAAGCACTTTTATTTCCTGCAACTGCAGGGTACAGGACAAAGATGAAGACTTAGATGATAACACAAGGCAACTCAGTCTGCAAGTGATTCTGAAACATCTTTGTGTCATAGAAAATACAACCACGGTCTGACATGAAAGTAGTGCTCATGTAGTACATCACATGCACTACCACTAAAAAAGAAAAAACAGCTGCAAAAGTTTCAGCCTTCCCAAAGGTCAAGTTCTAGTTTTAACACAACTACTTGGACTATACTCTTCACTGCAAAAGTCTGGAAGAAGAAAGCTCTTGAAAAGAGATTAGCTGGCTGTTTCAGAATTATGTCACCAAAGGCAGCTTATTTTGAATTCCAGATTTCAGTTTACATATTCACTAATATACCTGGAAAAGGTCTTTTGCCCTAATGACTGTGCATCGAGACGAGGCAGTTGTAGGTCAGCCCACATTGCCTGGGCAGGTAGAGAAACCTTCTAGAAGATAGACCTACATAGGGACCATAAGAATCTTCCAGTGAAACCATGTGAAGCAGTCCTAAGATCCATGGACAGTGACAAGGCCCCAGAGAGTCCTAGAGCTGTGTCTTTGTTCAGTGGAAACATGTGAATCAAAAAGTTTAATAAACTTCTCTTTCATTCAGCTGAGATGAATTTAGGTTGTCTCCCAATTAATTTTCATATTTATTATGCTACAGCCCATTATCTGTGCTTGGGAGGAACACAAAGTCACCTGAGAAACAAATACTGGAGTTGTATTTCCTAATGAGTAGACTTCCCTTTTCTGCCATGGAGCTGCATCAATCCTTCTGCCTTACATCCACAGTGTGCCACAGTCATAGGTCAGACATCTGCAGCACTATGACAAGATTTGTCACCAAAACACCCCAAGCCAGCAACATTTGCAGGCTGCTACAAAGCACAAAACACTACAGACTATATCTTCAAAGACCATCTCGTGTTAAGAGTGGCCAAAGAAAGCTGTCATGTAAAAGCAATTAAATCAACAGACAGGTTCTCTGCACTCTGAAGCTATAAAGTCATCAGCCTCAAATACAACCAGAGCTGCAGAATACACAGCACTTCACAACTAGGTAACTTGCCTTAAACTCACAAAATTGCCACATTAGGCAAATGTAGCTCTATAAAGCTCCTACTTAGCCTTGTGACCTCCAGTGGGCAGGAGGTTTTGCAGCATCTGACTGCCTGGCTCTACCCGAAGCAGCAAATTGCTCTGTGGTGGGCTCATCCCTGAGGAGGCTTCACCAGCTGAGTGAGATGGGCAGCACATCCCTGGGCAGAAAGGCAAGAACAACTACTGGGAAAAAATAAACAATGGCAATGTGTTTCATGTTACATTTTAACTCATAAAACTTTTACTGCACTCTTTCCACAGCACCACCAGCACCAAGTAAAAGCTCTTTGACAAAATGTGGGTTAAGATGCAGCCACTTACTGTAAGTGCAGCCGAAGACCTCAATTCTCAGTCCTATGCCCCCACCAACATTCCACTTCAGGGGGATGAAGCGCAGGAATCGAGCTTTCACAGAGTGCAGCAGTTTGTGGTGAACCACACTGTCAGCATTGCTGTTGCCTGTGAAAACCTGGAAGGACAAAGAGCCTTGGTGAGACATTAAGCAACAAGAGGTGAATGCAGCACTCTGAACAAAGGCTGGGAACTGTCACCCATCTTCACAATTCTTAGTCTCAAAAACTACTTAAAATTATTTAAATTGGTTGTCAAGCTTTCTGCTAAGTGCTGCATCTCTTATGAAGGGAAACAAGGGAGACAGCAGCACCTCAGCAGAGTGGGGGGATGTATACACAGAGTTACAAAAGCAGGCTGTAGATGGGGATGATACTGAAGATGCTGCACAATTTCTCCTAACCCAGGCTATTTCCGTGCACTGCAATACTCCATCAACCATAAAATAGTCAGGGTCCTGTCATCACAGTGAAGGATGGGGCTTGATTTAGCCTTTGGTGCACTCATGGAAGTACTAAATGATAGACACAAGCCAATAAAGGTCTTGAGAGTCTGGAAAGAAGAACAGGACAGTGTACTTCCAGATACCCAACAGAAAACTCAAGCAAGGAACCGGAAGAGATAAAAGCCTGAGTAAGTACACAGGAGAATCAGCATTTTGACTGTGTTTGCACTCAAGAGAGTTAAAGCATGCAAACATAATAATTTAATTTATTTCCTTACCTATTTAATTAATTGCCTGCAACAGCAAGCCAAAATTAATGGCCCTAGTCAGAATTATAACTTAACAAGAGGAAATTCTCTCATGGATGAAGAATGACCGAGGGATTTCAAAGACAAACCTTCAGAAAAACTTCAAGGCTGTCTTCCTGCCTGAAGCATTTTCAATTCATTTTTACACCCTTATCTGTAATATTGGCCCAGGAATATCACAGACTTCCTACAATCCTCAGAACATTTCAGTAATTCAGCTAGGATTGAAATTTGAAGCTAACAGTTTTGTAAAACATGAAAAGCAAAGAGAGAACACACAAAAACATAATCTCACAGGACAGCCATATTTGTAAAAGAGGTCCTGCATTTTGTAAGCATAAAATTTCATCACAAAATGTTGTACCAGTTTAAAATGCTTCTGCAGTTCAAAAATTGGCACCATTCACCTACACAATGTAATTGTGAGCAAAATCGGAATAAGCCCATTAAAAGAGACATACAATTCATTCTGATGGTTGAAGGATGTGCTAAAGAGATTAGGAGTTCATCTCCACTCAATTTTTTTCCTCAAATACAAGTATTACAACATTTTTCCAAATGTTATAATAAATGGTGTAAAACCTCAAATTCAGCGTATTCTTGTTCTACTAAACTCAGGATTCAATTGTTTTATTAGAACTATATTAAATAAACAATATTCTGGAACATTTCTAAAATATTCTGGAACAATCCTTTGAAACCATACCTTGTTTATTTCATTTCACATTAAAAGCTGTAACTTGGGGAAATTCTCTTCTATATACAATAGGCCTTATTTTCCACCCAGTCATGAATGCAAAAGACCACATACATCCCCCTTCCTAAAACATTCTTTGCATTTCATTGCCGTTATTGCCTGCCTCTGAAGATGAACAACGTTACTGAAATGATCTCTCACAATCCCAGTTACCTACTTGAAAAACCACCCTTCAGAACATGTGATCATGTGTTGGTTTTGGCTGAAGTGTAGTTAATTTTCTTCACAGTAGCTTGTATGGGGCTGTGTTTTGGATTTGTGCTGGAAAAAGCATTGATAATACAGAGGTGATTTATTCTCAAACAGTGCTTGCACAAAGTCAAGGACTTCTCTGCTCCTCCTACCAGTGAGGAGACTGGAAGGCATGGGAAGATGGGAGGCATCACTCCAGCTGACCACAGGGATATCCCATCCTATCCCATTGGCAGCACTGTGCTCAGCACACTGAGGTGGGGGAAGAAGGACAGGGGGATGTCCAGAGTGATGGAATTTGTATTCCCAAATCATCATTACAAGTGGTGGAGCCTGGCTGTCCTGGCAATGGCTGAACACTTCCGTGCCCATGGGAAGTGGAGAGCAAACTCCTTGTTCTGCTTGCAAAAGTGTGGGTGGCTTTTGCTTTACCCATTAAATGGTCTTTATCTCAACCCAGGAGTTTTCTCATGTTTAATCTTCCAATTTTCCCCCCCATCCCACAGAGGGAGAGTGAGCAGCTGTGTGGGGCTCAGGTAATGGTTGGGGTTAATCCATTACAGATCTGTAAAATTATTTCTACTAGGAGCTTATCAGGCTGAAAAGAGGAACATTTTGGTTATCCCAGTTGTCCTCAAAGCTTTGGTTTTCCTATACCTCTAGTTCTGAACCTTTTATGCACAAGATCTCGTTTTCTACAAGTATTATGTGACAGATAACTAACCTCTCAGAAATTAAGCTATATTTTTTTTTTTTATGGAGATTCTTAAGATTCTTAAAGTTAACCAAATACAGCAGATATGTTTTGAGGAGTGGAACAACCCATAGTTCTATATGTCCTGATCCTACTCATACTGCTTGCCACATAGAAGCCAATTTCAAACTCCAGCAGAGTCTTTCCTAGATTTTTTTCCTTGTATTTCAGGTGAAAAATCTTGTTCTTCTCAGTAATGAAACTGTCAGTAGAGAGTAAGCCTCACAGTCACAGCTGTGGCAGTCCCCACATTTTTAGTAAGACATTTATGGATATATAAGATGTGTAAAGGAGACTGTTGTTTTCTGTTTGTTTGCTTCATGTTCTTGGAGTCCTGTGATTACGTAAATGTCTCACCTTTAATAAGATAAAAAAGAAAGAAGAAAAACAACAAAGGGAGAAGAGAGGGTTTCCAGTCCTCCCAACTGTGAAGAAAAACTTAAAACACAATGACCAGAATGAGAGTAAAGGTGAAAAGTAAGAGACAAAAGAAAAAGTACACCTTAGTACTGTGAAACAAGCTGGGGTGTCGAGCATACTTTAGTGGCTGTCTGTGCCATCAAGGAGATTGTGGTTTTGCCAGGGAAAAGATTCCCAGCTGTACCACACCCACTGCAAGCTGATCTCGCTGCCTACCCACTGGCATCTCTGCTAGGGATCCTCCCTCAACACCTCAAGCAAGAGCCAGAATTATTCACATCCAGCCTCCAGATCAGTTAGTTCACCCCAAACCTGATGGACAACTATGTAAAAACATCCTTCCCACACAGAAAGAGCCACACTGGTAAAAATATAGGTCCAATACCGCCCTTATAGCACTTTTTTTCTCAAGCTCCTCTGATAAGCAAAGAGCTAATGACCCTTTTAGAGAAAGCAAATCCACAGGCAATGCTGTACCCATTGATCTGTGCCTACGAGATGGTTCTGGATGTGGCTGGCACATCCTGCTTGCTGCTACCGACGGGGTGTCACTGTGTGTGTACCTTCAGGACTGCTTTGATTTTTCCTTCCAACTCCCACTGCTGTACAGATCACCTTTTGATGCTTTATGGACCACCTGTGGGCTGTAGACCATTGATTGAATAATGCCAATTGCCACAGACAGTCACTTGAAAACTTAAGATCCACAGCTGACAAAGAAAAAAATCCATCCATTAAAGGAGATGAAAGTAGGATGCAGTACCAGATTTTGCAGCCCTGGAGATTCAAATATTGATTAACAGTAAACCTATCGGTGAGAATGGCAGAAGTCCTCTTGAGAAATGGCCTCTATTACAACCTGTTGTTGATAAAGATTAATTCCCAGGACCAAAATGAAAAAAAAATGCAGAAAACAAAGCACTTGCATTTCCCATGCAACACAGTTGCTCTGGGAGAGAGCACAAGCTCTTCAATCTGTGTCTTTTAACAAGCCCTGTAAACACAACAGACGGATGATTTACATGGGAAATTCTGCCTCTGGCATTCTATGGGGCTTATAAATCAAAGAGCTCCATTAGTGCCAAATTTTGCCACCAGCTTCTTGAAGGCAAAAGCTTTTCCCCAGTGCCAGCAGCCACAAGGTTAACAGCTGGCCGGGGCTGCCCCTCGAACCAAGCTTGTTTCACAATGCCTGGCTGCACGGTGCTCTGCTGTGACACAGACCACGGCACCACAGTAATATTTTATGAGGCTTTTTTTATGAGCCAGCAAAGGCAGGTCCCACTGGCATGAAAAGGTGAGGGGAGAGCAGCTGCACTGGTTTGGAGCAGGGTCCGACCGGCTCAGCGCTGCCTCTTGGGCAGCAGCTGTCAGCACGTAGGGAAGAGTGGCAGAGACAAGCATGCACAGTGCTCCTCCCAACGCTCAGCTCACCTAGTTCATGGATTGTAGTGAAAAGGACAAAATGGAATTCCAGTTTAAATGAAAAAGAAAATTTCAAAAAGAAGCATAAATCTCAAAACTGCTGTTGTTGCCTGGAATTTGCATGGATGAGTCTCTCAGGAAAAACAATGATTCAACTAAAGGGCTATTTTCACAACTTTCCCATTCAGAGGGATCCCCAAAGCTTTTCAAGGGCAGCTCAGGAAAATGTCACACAACTACAGTGAAATATGACAGTCATTTAATAACCCTAAAGACACATATTTGTTTCTTTACTTCATTAATTAATTCAGAGCTATACCAGATCATACCAGTGAGACTTGTTGAGCTTCAGATCACCCTTTGGCCAAACTCTTAGACTGGTCTCGACCTCCCAACAGACAAGTGGAAATTGAGTGCAAGTGTCTGCTCATGAAAGCCTAGTTAATTCAAAAGATAAGATCAGATGCAGGACTTTATCTCAGCCTCCCCCAGCATGAACTCTCTGCACACTAAATGGCAACTGATTTACAGACTTGCAGAAGGTGGTTTCCATAATGGCTCTGCTGAATACATCCTGCTCTCCCACTTTGTTAGACGAGTAATGGGATGGGTTCAAAATGAGTATGCAAGCAGCAACATTGGCACAATCCTCAGCCCTGTATGGTGAGCAGGCAGACCTGAGGTTAACTACCTTCTAGTGGAGATATTTTAAGACATATTGAAAACTCTCATTTCTGCCCAAGTAACTCCGATGAGCTGAATTGAGGGGAAAGAAATAATCAGATTATGAATGTGCAGAGGGCACGCAACACAGATG